ACAACTGTCATAATGTGAAAAAGACCCAGTAATTTCTTTTTTTTTTTGAGATGGGGTCTCACTCTATCACCCAGGCTGGAGTGCAGCGGTGCAATCTTGGCTCACTGCAACCTCTGCTGCCCAGTTTCAAACAATTCTCCTGCCTCAGCCTCCCAAGAAGCTGGGATTACAGGTGGCCGCCACCACACCCGGCTAATTTTTGTATTTTTAGTAGAGACGGGGGTTTCACCATCTTGGCCAGGCTAGTCTTGAACTTGTGACCTCGTGATCCACCCGCCTCGGCCTACCAAAGTGCTGGGATTACAGGCATGAGCCATCACACCTAGCCCAGACTCAGTAATTTCATTTCCGGAAATTTTATTTTCTTTTTTTTTTGTTGTTTTTTTTTTGAGACTGGGTCTCACTCTGTCACCCAAGCCCCAGGCTGGAGTGCAGTGGTGCAATCTCGGCTCACTGCAACCGCTGCCTCCCGGGCCTAAGCTTTTCTCTCACCTCAGCCTTCCAAATAGTGGACTGCAGGTGCACACCACCATGCTTGGCTAATTTTTGTATTTTTTGTAGAGGCAGGATTTCAACATGTTGCCCAGGCTGGTCTTGAACTCCTGGACTCAAACGATCTGCCTGCCTTGGCTTCCCAAAGCGCTTTGGATTACAGATGTGAGCCACCGCACCCAGCCAGGAAATTTGATTTTCAATCTTCTTTTATTTACTGAAACAAATAACTTAAAAACAATTTAAGTGCCATTTGCAATTTTATGGTAATATATCTGGCGAAAACCTAAACAGCCGGCAAAAGGAGTCAATGAATCTCAAACACATAATATTGAGCAAAAAGAGGAAGGTCTATCTTTACCTCTTTTGTTTAAAAAAAAAAAAAATCAAGCTGGGTGCACTGATTCACACCTGTAATCCCAGCAGTTTGTGAGGACAAGGTGGGCGGATCACCAGAGGTCAGAAGTTCGAGACCACCCTGGCCAACATGGCAAAACCCCATCTCTACTAAACAATAAAAAACAAAAAAATTGGTTGGGCATGGTGGTGTGCACCTGTAATCCCAGCTACTCAGGAAGCTGAAGCAGTTCTCCTGCTTCTCTTGAACCTGGGAAGCAGAGGTTGCAGTGAGCTGAGATCGAGCCATTGCACTCCAGCCTGGGCAACAAGAGCAAAACTCTGGCTCAAAACAAAACAAACAAACAAAAACATAAGTTACAAAGTTAAATCAGCTAATATAACAAATTCGAAACAAACATTACGAATTAAAGGTGTGAGATCAAATTCGGAAAGGACGTCAAATACTGTTTTTGAGCTTGACACAAATGGCGTCAGTATGTATATTTAAAACTCTGCTTCTCACACGTGACAACTGCTCAAAATCGTGGCACATCAGGACCATCAGGACCGGGAGGGAGGTGGGGCTTTTCAGTTTTCTGGGAGTTTGAGGTTGCCTTTATTTTTCCTTGTCAACTGATATCACATTCATACCTACAAAGATGCAACATCTTCAATATACAATGAAGAACAGCCAAGACCTTAAGTGCGCACCGAGACCCGCACTGAGACCCGCACCTCCTGGCTTTGGCCCAGACACTGCACCCAGTCTCAGCTCCTCCACCGGACCCTGGTCACCCACACTTCATTCCCATCGTGCCCTCCCTTCTCCAGTGCTCTTGCAGGCCTGGGGAACCAGCAGCTGAAGATACTGCCCCTCCCCTGTGTCTCAGTTCCTCAGCCTGGCATCAGAGGCCAGGCACGATCCAGCCCTCACATCTTAAAAAATGCCATCATCCCCGGATGTGGTGGTTCATGCCTGTAATCTCAGCACTTTGGAAGCCAAGGCAGGTGGATCACCTGAGGTTAGGGGTTTGTGACCAGCCTGACCAACATGGTGAAAACCGTCTCTACTAAAAATACAAAACTTAGCCAGGTGGTAGTGGCGCGCACCTGTAAGCCCAGCTACTCGGAAGGCTGAGGCAGGAGAATTACTTGAACCTGGGAGGCAGAGGTTGCGGCGAGCTGAGATCGCACCATTGCACTCCAGCCTGGGAGACAGAGCAAGACTCCGTCGAAACAAAGAACAAACAAACCAAAAAAAGCCATCATTTATTAAGACTGAGTATGTTCCAGGCACGGTGTCAAGTGCTTCAAAACTGGCTATGTTGTCTTCACTTGCTTTTTGTTTTGGTTTTGGTTTTGAGGGCGGGGGGGCTTTTTTTAGAACAGGGCCTCGCTATGTTGCCCAGGCTTGTCTCAAACCTATGAGTTCAAGCAATTCTCCCACCTCTACCTCCCTGATTGCTGGGATTACAGGTGTGAGTCACTGTGCCGGGCTATCTCCACTTCAGACAGCAGAAAGCTGAGGCGCAGGGAGGGAAAGTCACTTCTCCAAGGCCACAAAGCTGGTAGGTGACACAGTCAGAACTCAACTCCAGAAGCCTAAATTGTAACACTGGGTTCCCTCACACTACATTGCCCCCATTCTGGAAGATGCCCTCCTCCTGACCTGCTCTGGGGGGCTCTGGGTGGGTCTGGCCAACCTGGAGAAATGGCTGGTTGGGCACCCGTGGCAGCCCCCAGCCCTCCTTCCCCCACCAGCAGCCGTGGGCTGGGAAGGGTCCAGGAACTGCCGGGTAGCTGCAGAGGTCAAAAGTCAGATGTGGGTTTCCTGCCAACCCCTGGGAACTTCCTTCTTCCCGATTCGACGCTCCCCTCACTGCGCACCACCCTGGAGGACCCCTCTGCTCTGTCCACCATCCCTCCTACTTCGTTACCCTGGCTCATGGGGGGACGGGTCCCCACACCCCAGCATTCACACTGCCGGACAGAGGACAGCAATTGCACGATTGTCACCTGTCTGGGATCAAGCCTCCTTTCCAGCTCCCGGCTGCTGTCCCTCCAGCCCACCCGGACTCCACGGGGCAAGGGGTGTCTGTCCCAGTCTGTCTCCCAAGACTGGGAGTTGCCTGTGGCTGGGCTTAGGGCTGACACCTCTTGGGGGACCCGGCATCAACCAGCACGAAACAAAGCAGAGACTTGCAGGGAGGGTTTCCCTGGAGCTCCTGATTCTGGGAGCTGGGCAGGACACACAGAATCCTTTGCTTCCTGGTCCCCGAACCCCCTCCAGGCCCACCAGGGAGGTGACCCACAGTGACCCCCATGGTTTCTTTGTTTGTTTTTGTTTTTGTTTTGAGACGGAGTCTCACTCTGTCTCCAGGCTGGAGTGCAGTAGAGATCTCGGCTCACTGCAACCTCTGCCTCCCGGGTTCAAGTGATTCCCTGCCTCAGCCTCCCGAGTAACTGGGATTACAGGTGCCCGCCATCACATCCGTCTAATTTTTGTATTTTTAGTAGAGACAGAGTTTCGCCATGTTGGCCATGCTGGTCTCAAACTCCCGACTTCAGGTGATCCACCCACCTCGACCTCCCAAAGTCCTGAGATTCCAGATGTGAGCCACTGTGCCCGGCTGCCCATGGGGTTTTGAGTGTCCAGGGCAGGAAGCTGAGTCCCATCTATCCACCACTTGTCCGTCACCATCTCATGGAGCCTCCAGCAGTGCCTCCAGCAAGAAATGACCCTAATCATAACGACGGCTACAGAGTGACCAAGCACCAGGCATGCCTCGTCTCACAAAGGGGTACACTGAGGCACAGACATGTGAGGCCTCTTGCCCGAGCTCGCACAGAGTGGAGCCAGCTCTTCCCAGCTCCAAGCTCATTATTTCCTGTGCTGTAGTTTCCTGGAGCATTTATTGAGCACCTAAGTGAACAGGGCATCGGGGAGCAATGACAGAGCTTGGGGAGCCAGCGCCACCACCATCCATGACTCAGCCCTCTGTGACACCCTCCTGTGCAATTACTGATCACCTACTGTTTGTCCCGCCCTGGGCTAGCTAGGCATTTCATACTTTAAAAAAACAAAAAAACAGCGTCTTGGCCGGGCGCGGTGGCTCACGCCTGTAATCCCAGCACTTTGGGAGGCCGAGGCGGGTGAATCATGAGGTCAAGAGATTGAGACCATCCAGGTCAACGTGATGAAACCCCGTCTCTACTAAATATACAAAAAAATTAGCTGGGCATGGTGGCGCGTGCCTGTAATCCCAGCTACTCAGGAGGCTGAGGCAGGAGAATTGCCTGAACCCAGGAGGCGGAGGTTGCGGTGAGCCGAGATCGCGCCATTGCACTCCAGCCTGGGTAACAAGAGCGAAACTCCATCTCAAAAAACAAAACAAAACAAAAACAACAAACAACAACAACAAAAAAACAGCGTCTCGCTCTATCTCCAGGCTGGAGTGCAGTAGTGCGATCTCGGCTCGCTGCAACCTCCGCCTCCTGGGTTCAAGCGATTCTCCTGCCTCAGCCTCTCGGGTGGCTGGAATTACAGGTGTGCGCCACCACACCAGGCTAATTTTTGTATTTTTAATAGAGATGGGGGTTTCACTATGGTGGCCAGGTTGGCCTCAAACTCCTGACCTCAGGCAATCTGTCCACCTTGGTCTCCCAAAGTGCTGGGATTACAGGTTCGAGCCACCTTGCCCGGTGCCTTTCCCACATTTTGTGGCATTTCATCAGCACCAGGGAAGTGGGTCCACTTCTGTAGCCAGCCTGTCTCGAGGTAAGTGAAGCTCCGTGAACTAACAGCATAAGACCCTTGAGGCAGCGCCTTTTCTTCTCTGTGCCTCAGTTTCCCCCACCACCGAAGAGAGACAGTAACAGGCCTGGCATAACTCAGTGACCTAATTGCAGTAGGTACTGAGAACAGCACCCGCCACCAAGTAAAGGCAAAAGCAAGGCTCCAAAAGGTCGAGAAAGCCTGAGCCGCCAGCCAGCGTCCCACCCAGCATTTATCAGAGGTGTCCAACCATGCCCTGCTCTGGCTCTAGGCCCCCAGCCCCTCCCCCAAGCTCTCACAGCCAGGGTGGGAGTGTTGTGATAACCCGCAGCCCCCGTTTCCTCCAGGCCAGGAAGGAGCCAGGCAGAGGAAGTATTAAGAGGAGTAATATAAGCACTCCCCCCTGCGAGGCAGGAGCCAGAGCAGGCCGGGTGGCGAGCGGGGACGGTGCACCGCTGGCAACGGGAGCAAATGGGTCTGGCGATGGAGCACGGAGCATCCTACGCTCGGTCGGGCGGCAGCTCTCACGGCTGCTGGTACTACCTGCGCTACTTCTTCCTCTTCGTGTCCCTCATCCAATTCCTCATCATCCTGGGGCTCGTGCTCTTCATGGTCTACGGTAATGTGCATGTGGGCACAGAGTCCAACCTGCAAGCCACCGAGCGCCGAGCTGAAGGCCTGTACAGCCAGGTCGTGGGTCTCTCGGCCTCCCAGACCAACCTGACCAAGGAACTCAACCTCACCACCCGCGCCAAGGACGCCATCATGCAGATGTTGCTGAGCGCCCGCCGAGACCTGGACCGCATCAACGCCAGCTTCCGCCAGTGCCAGGCTGACCGGGTAAGGCTACGGGCAGGACACTCGCCCTGGGGACACGGGGCAAGCCACCTCACCTCGCTGAGCCTGAGTTTGCTCATCCAGGAGACGGGGACCATCACAGGACCAATACTCTCTTTTCTTTTGAGACATGGTCTCCTTCCGTCGCTCAGGCTGGAGTGCAGTGGTGTAATCTCGGCTCACTGCAGCCTCCGCCTCTCAAGTTCGAGTGATTCTGCTGCCTCAGCCTCCCAAGTAGCTGGGATTATAGGCACGTGCCACCATGACCAACCAATTTATGTATTTTTAGTAGAGATAGGGTTTTACCATGTTGGCCAAGCTGGTCTCAAACTCCTGACCTGAAGTGATCCGCCTGCCTCAGCCTCCCAAAGTGTTGGGATTACAGACACCAGCCTGTGCCCAGCCAACAGATTTTTTTTTTTTTTAAGAGACAGCGTCTCTGTCTGTCTCCTGGGCTGGATGGAGTGCAATTGCGATCACAGCTCTCACTGCAGCCTCAATCTCCTGGGCTCAAGCGATCCTCCTGCCTCAGACTCCTGAGTAGCTGGGACTGTATACAGGCATGCGCCACCATGCCCAGCTAATATTTTTATATTTTGCAGAGACGGGGTCTCACTATGTTGCCCAGGCTGGTCTCAAACTCCTGGGCCCAAGCAGTCCTCTCTCCTCGGCCTCCCAGAGTGCTGGGATTATGGGTGTGGGGAGTTGTGTTCAGCTAATTTTTGTTTTCTTCCTTTTTTTTGGAGACAGAGTCTCACTCTGTTACCTAGGCTGCAGCACAGTGATGTGAGCAGAGCTCACTGCAGCCTTGACCTCCTGGGCTCCAGCATCCTCCTGCCTCGGCCTCTCGAGCTGCTGGCACTATGGACATGTGTTAGTATGCCCAGCTCATTTTTTTATTTTTAGTAGACATGGGGTCTCGCTATGTTGACCAGGCTGGTCTTGAAATCCTGGGCTCAAGCAATCCTCCCTCCTGGACCTCTCAAAGTGCTGAGATTACAGGGTGGGCATCACCACACCTGGTGAATTTTTTTTTTTCTTTGAGATGGAGTCTCACTCTGTCGCCCAGGCTGGAGTGCAGTGGTGCGATCTCGGCTCATTGCAACCTCCAACTCCCAGGTTCAAGTGATTCTCCTGCCTCAGCCTCCCAAGTAGCTGGGATTACAGATGTGTGCCATCACAACAGCTAATTTTTGTATTTTTGGTAGAGACGGGGTTTCACCATCTTGGCCAGGCTGGTCTCAAACTCCTGACCTCGGGTGATCCACCTGCCTCGGTCTCCCAAAGTGCTGGGATTACAGCATGAGCCACCGTATCCTACCCTGAGCCCTGGCTAATTTTTTTTTTTTTTAAAGACAGAATCTCACTATGCTGCCCAGGCTGGTCTTGAGCTCTTAGCCTCACCCTCCTATGCTGAGATTAAAAGCATGAGCCACCATTCCCATTTTTATTTATTTATTTTTTTTGAGACAGAGTCTTGCTCTTTTGCCCAGGCTGGAGTGCAGTGGCGCAATCTCAGCTCACCGCAACCTCTGCTTCCCAGCTCCAAGCAATTCTTCTGCCTCAGCCTCCTGAGTAGCTGGGACTACAGGTGCATGCCACCACGCCCAGCTAGTTTTTGTATTTTTAGTAGAGATGGGGTTTCATCATGTTGACCAGGTTGGTCTTGAACTCCTGACCTCAAGTTATTTGCCTGCCTTGGCCTCCCAAAGTGCTGGGATTACAGGAGTGAGCCACCCCCCTAGCCAGGGGAAATTTAAAACCCTTTACAGATGCTGGGCATGGTGGCTCATGCCTGTAATCCTAGCAGTTTGGGAGGCCGAGGCGGACGGATCACAAGGTCAGGAGATGGAGATCATCCTGGCCAACAAGGTGAAAGCCTGTCTCTACTAAAAATACAAAGATTAGCTGGGCATGGTGGTGTGTGCCACTCGGGAGGCTGAGGCAGGAGAACCACTTGAACCCAGAAGGCAGAGGTTGCAGTGAGCCAAGATCCTGCCACTGCACTCCAGCCTGAGTGACAAAACGAGACTCCATCTAAAATTAATAAATAAATAAAATAAAGTCAACACAAAAATTAGCCAGGCATGATGGCATGTGCCAGTAGTCCCAGCTACTCGGAGGCTGAAGAGGGAAGATCACTTGAGCCCGGGAGGTCAAGGCTGCAGTGAACCAAGATGGTGCCACTGCACCCCAGCCTGGGCAACTGAGCGAGACCCTGTCTGGAAAACATGACGGACTGAATAGAAGCTCAGAATGTTTTGTTGCTATTCAGCTATTCAGTTCCAGCGTGTATAAACAGCTCATATTTGCTGTATGCTGGGTGTTGAATTTAGAAATATCAACTCATTGTCAAATCCCAGGAAGCAGGGAGAAGTTTATTTTGTTATGTTTTGTTGTGTTTAAGACAGGATCTCCCTCTGTCGCCCAGGCTGGAGTGCAGCAGTACGATCTTGGCTCACTGCAACCGCTGCCTCCCAGGCTCAAGTGAGTCTTCTGCCTCAGCCTCCTGAGTAGCTGGGACTATAGGCACACACCACCATGCCTGGCTAACTTTTGTATTTTTAGTAGAGATGGGGTTTCACCATGTTGGCCAGGCTGGTTTCGAACTCCTGACCTCAAGTGATCTGCCTGCCTCGGCTTCCCAAAGTGCTGGGATTATAGAAATGAGCCACTGCGCCTGGCCGGGAGAAGTTTTAAACCTTTTCCAGAGACCAGGCATGTTGGCTCACGCCTGTAATTCCAGCACTTCGGGAGGCCGAGGCAGGTGGATCACAAGGTCAGGAGATTGAGACCATCCTGGTCAACATGATGAAACCCCATCTCTACTAAAACTCCAAAAAAAATCAGCTGGACATTGTGGTGGGCACCTGTATTCTCAGCTATTTGGGAGGCTGAGGCAGCAGAATAGCTTGAACCCGGGAAGCGGAGGTTGCAGTGAGCTGAGATCACACCATTGCACTCCAGCCTGGCGACAGAGTGATACCCCATCTCAAAAAAATAAATTAAACCCTTTGCAGGCAGGAAAGTGGAGGCGTGAGAGGGGAGGGGGATTTCCGGAGGCGGCAGAAACAGGCAGGCTCTCTGGGCAGAGCCACAGCTGCAGATATGGGGTCTCCTGGAGACCAGCGCCCACCGTCGCACCCCAGCTTGTGACAAACACAGTAGACAACTGTCCCCATGTTCTTAGACACAACTTCTCCCTAGGGCGGGGGAAGTCCTGCCAGACTGAGGCATTAAGGGGAGTGGGTGTGTGGGTCTCTCCTTAAGGGTGAGGTGGGTGAGAGGTGGGAGGTTGGCATGAGGGAAGCTAAAGGGGCAGCTTCAGGGTCTTCCAATGAGGTGACCTGGCTGGCCAGGGCCATGGCCAAGGCAGTGGCAAAGACAGGCCTTGCACTGGACCTCAGACCACCCAGCCCTCCCCAATGGGCAGGAAGCTGAGCTCAGCCCCCTCAGATCAGCCCAAGGCAGAACTCTGTCTCCTCACCTCAGACCCCTCACCACAGGGCCCTGTTTCCATCCCCTAAAACCCCAGGGCAAAGCACTGTCCCCACAGATGCCCAGGGTACGATGGATCTCACCTCAGCCCCCCAAGATGGGGTGAAACACAGATCCTCAGGATAGGGCCCTGCCTCCCCTCTCAGACCTGAACCTGGCTAACTGGTGTCTTTTTAAAACAAATTATTTATTGGCTGGGCATGGTGGCTCATTCCTATAATCCCAGCACTTTGAGAGGCCCTGGCGTACGGATCACGAGGTCAAGAGATCGAGACCAGCCTGGCCAACATGGTGAAACCCCATCTCTACAAAAAAATACAAAAATCAGCTGGCCGTGGTGGTGCGTGCCTGTAATTCCAGCTACTTGGGAGGCTGAGACAAGAGAATCACCTGAACCTGGGAGGCAGAGGCTGCAGTGAGCTGAGACCGCACCACTGCACTCCAGCCTGGGCGACAGAGTGAGACTCTACCTAAAAAAAAAAAAAAAAAAAAAAAAAAAATAGAATAAAAAATAAAGATTAAAGAAAAAACTTTTAAAATTATAGTATTTATTTATTTATTTTAAAGAGGCAATGTCTCAGTCTATCACGCAGGCCGGAGTGTGGTGGTGTGATCATAGCTCACCGCAGCCTCGAACTCCTGGGCTCAAGTGATCCTCCCATCTCAGCCTCCCAAGTAGCTGGGACCACAGGCACATGTCACCTTCATCAGCTAACTTTTTCTTTTAAAGGACATGGTCTCACTATGTTGCCCAGGCTGGTCTCAAACTCCCGACCTCAAGCAGTCTTCCCACCTCAGCCTCCCAATGACTAAGGCTTTTGAGAACAGAAGGCACTCCCCAGTCTTAGGGCATTCACCCAGGGCAACCTCCAAAAGGAGAAAGGATAGAGAGTTTCAGGAACACAGCCTCTCCTCATCCTTCCTACTTCCTGTATTTCTGCAGGGGGTTCTCTCCCAAAGTTTGCAAGTATGGCCGTCGTTTGTTCAATTGTGAACACTTTCTTTAAAAACAGCTTTGCTGGCAGGGCGTGGTAGTTCACACCTGTAATCCCAAGACTTTGGGAGGCCAAGGTGGGAGGATTGCTTGAGCTCAGGACTTTGAGACCAGTCTGGGCAACATAGTGAGACCCCATCTCTACAAAAAAATACAAAAATGATGCAAATGTCATGGCAGGCAGCTGTAATCCCAGCTCGAGAGCTGAGGTGGGAAGATTACCCGAGCCTGGGGTGACTGAGGCTGCAGTGAGCCATGAATGTACCACTGCACTCCAGCCTGGGTGACAGAGTGAGACCCTGTCTCAGAAAAAGAAAAGAAAAGAAAAACAGCTGGCCAGACATGGTGGCTCACACCTATAATCCCAGCACTTTGGGAGGCTGAGGCAGTTGGATCACTTGAGGTCAGGAGTTTGAAACCAGTGTGGCCAACATGGTGAAACCCCATCTGTACTAAAATACAAAATTAGCTGGGCATGGTGGTGGGCACTTGTAATCCCAGCTACTTGGGAGGCTGAGGCAGGAGAATCACTTGAATCCGGGAGGCGGAGGTTGCAGTGAGTCCAGACCGCGCCACTGCACTCCAGCCTGGGCAACAGAGCGAGACTCCATCTCAGTTATAAAAATAATAAACAATTTTTAAAAACAGCTTTATTGGGATATAATTTACATAGTATAAATCCACCTGTTTAAAGTGTAAAACTTGATGTTTTTTTCCTACATTCACAGAATTGTATGTTCATCACCACAGTCCATTTTAAAACATTTTTGCCTTCCCAAAGGAAAACCCCACCCCCTCAGGCTGGGCTGGGCGGCTCGTGCCTGTAACCCCAGCATTTTGGGAGGCCGAGGTGGGTAGATCACGAGGTCAGGTGATTGAGACTGGCCTGGCCCACATGGTGAAACCCCATCACTACTAAATATACAAAAATTAGCCGGGCGTGGTGGCGCGCGCCTATAATCCCAGGTACTCGAGAGGCTGAGACAGGAGAATCACTTGAACCTGAGCCGAGATCTCACCACTACATTTCAGCCCGGGCAACAGAGTGAGACTCCATCTCAAAAAGAAAACGAGAGAGAGAACGAAAGAAAGAGAAAACCCCGTTCCCATCTGCAGTCACTCCCCATTCCCCTCCCTCAACCCCTGGCAGTCCCTAATCTGCTTCCTGCCTCTGTGGATTTGCCTGTTCTGTGTTTCATGTCAAGGGAATCTCACACGATGTGGCCTTTTGTGTCTGGCTTCCCTCACTTGGGCATCGTGTTTTTGGGGTTCACCCACACGGCAGCACGGATCAGTGCTTCCTTCCTTTTTATGGCTGAATCATATCCCATGTGTGGAAGGAACACATTTTGTGCGTCCACTCATCTACTGACAGGCATTCGGGCTGTTACCACCTTTGGCTACTGTGAATTGAGCTGCTGGGCACGTCCCTGGCAAGTTGCTATGAGGATATGTGTTATTGCTCTGGATGTATGCTGAGAAGTGGAATTGCTGGGGCATGTGGTAACTATGTTTAACAGTTTGAGGAACTGCCAGACTGTTTCCCAAAGCAGTGGCCACATTGTCTGTGCTCACTAGTCCTGTCTGAGAATTCTGATTTCCCCACATCCTCATCAACGCCTGCTACTGTTCATTTTGGGGTTTTATGGGTGCTTAAAATAGCCACCCTAGTGGGTGTGAAGTGGTATCTCACTGCGGTTTTGATTCGCATTTCCGTAATGGCTAATGATTTTGAATAACTTTTGATATTTTGATATGCTTGTTGGCCATTTGCATATCTTTTTTTTTATTTTTTATTTTTTGAGATGGGAGTTTCACTCTTGTTGCCCAGGCTGGAGTACAATGGCAAGATCTCAGCTCACCGAAACCTCTGCCTTCTGGGTTCAAGCGATTCTCCTGCCTCAGCTTCCGGAGCAGCTGGGACTACAGGTGCACACCACCACACCTGGCTAATTTTTGTATTTTTAGTAGAGACAAGGGTTCGCCACATTAGCCAGGCTGTTCTCGAACTTTCGACCTCAGGAGATCCACCTGCCTTGGACTAACAAACTGCTGGGATTACAGGCGTGAGCCACCACCCCTGGTCATTTGCATATCTTCTTTTGAGAAATGTGTATTCAGACCCTTTGCCCTTTATTATTTTTTGTTGTTGTTGTTGTTTTGTAAAAACAGTTCTCCAGCTAGGAATGGTGGTATATGCCTGAGCCACCATGACTGGCAGACCCATCTCAATTCTTAAAAAATTTTTGGCTCAGGAGGCTGAGGCGGGAGAATTGCCTGAACCCAGAAGGCGGACGTTGCGGTGAGCCGAGATCACGCCATTGCACTCCAGCCTGGGTAACAAGAGTGAAACTCCATCTCAAAAAAAAAAAAAAAATTTTTTTTGGCTGAGCTCAGTGGCTCAAGCCTGTAATCCCAGCACTTTGGGGAGGCCAAGGTGAGCAGATCACCTGAGGTCGGGAGTTCAAGACCAGCCTGGCCAACATGGTAAAATCCCATCTACCAAAATTACAAAAAAATTTAAGCAGTTGTGGTAGCGAGCACCTGTAATCCAGCTTCTCGATAGGCTGAGACAGGAGAATCACTGGAACCAGGAGGCAGAGGTTGCAGTGGGTGAGAGCAACAAGAGCAAAACTCTGTCTCAAAAAAAAATTCAGTTGACCATAAATGTAGATGTAACATTTTAAAAGTTAATCTATGTTGTAGCATATATTTATACTTTGTGCCTTTTTATTTCTAGATAGTAGCAACTGTAAAAACTTTTGAAGATCAGACAAGCATCCGGTATATTTTTATTTATTTATATTTTTGTGTTTGTTTCATTGATATGCGGACTTGTTACATTGCCCAGGCTGTTCTCAGACTCCTGGGCTTCACTGATCCTCCCATCTCAGCTTCCCAAGTAATTGGGACTACAGGGGTGAGCCATCACACCTGGCTTCCAACATCCCCTCATAAAGGGACCATGGCCTTGGCCAGGTGCCTGTAATCCCAGCACTCTGGGATGCCGAGGCGGGTGGATTACGAGGTCAGTAGATTGAGACCAACATGGTGAAACCCTGTCTCTACAAAAAATACAAAAATTAGCCAGGCCTGTTGGCGGGCACCTGTAGTCCCAGCTGCTCAGGAGGCTGAGGCAGGAGAATTGTTTGAACCCAGGAGGCAGAGGTTGCAGTGAGCCAAGATTGCACCACTGCACTCCAGCCTGGCAACAGAGCGAGTCTGTCTTAAAAATAAAAAAGGAACCATGCCCTTGTGAACTCAGCTCACTCTGGCCACCTGGGTGTCTGATCTCGGTCCCGCCCCCAGGGGCAAGACACTAAGCTCTGTCCTGCGTCCTTCCCCTTCCTCCCGGGCAGGTAATCTACGTAAACGATCAGGTGTATGTGGCTGCCATCATCCTTAGTGAGAAGCAGTGCAGAGATCAGTTCAAGGAAATGAACAAGAGCTGCGATGGTGAGTGCTAAGGCTGGGGTGGTGACTCCCCGCCCAGTGCTCTCGACAGCCCCCGATCTTCCTGAGTCTCCTGATCCTGTTTCCTTAGCCTTGCTCCTCATGCTGGGTCAGAAGGCGAAGACACTGGAGGTGGAGATAGAAAAGGAGAAGGCCGTTTGCACGAAGGATAAGGAAGGCATGCTGCTGAGCAAACGCATGGCGGAGGAACAGCTGGCCGAGTGCGTGAAATCGCAGGAGCTGCAGCGCCAAGAGCGCCAGCTGGCCCAGGAGCAGCTGCAAAAGGTGCAGTCCCTCTGCCTGCCCCTGGACAAGGACAAGTTCGAGACGGATCTTCGTAACCTGTGGAGGGACTCCATTATCCCACGCAACCTGGACAGCATGGGTTACAACATCTACCATCCTCTGAGTTCGGAAGTGGCCTCCATCCGCAGAGCCTGTGACCACATGCCCAGCCTCATGACCTCCAAGGTGGAGGAGCTGGCCCGCAGCCTCCGGACCGGCATTGACCGCGTGGCCCGCGAGAACTCGGACCTCCAACGCCAGAAGCTGGATGCCGAGCGGGGCCTGCAGGCCAGTCAGGAGGCCAAACAGAAAGTGGAGAAGGAGGCTCAGACCCGGGAGGCCAAGCTCCAAGCCGAATGCTCCCGGCAGACCCAGCTGGCGCTGGAGGAGAAGGCGGCGCTGCGGAAGGAACGAGACAGCCTCGCTAAAGAGCTGGAAGAGAAGAAGAGGGAGGCGGAGCAGCTCAGGCTGGAGCTGGCCGTCAGAAACTCGGCCCTGGACACCTGCATCAGGGCCAAGGTGGGCTTGTGGGCTCCAGAGGGAGGTTGCAATGGAGTTGGGTCCAGATGCCAAGGGGGCAGTGGTGATGTTGAACTTGAAGTTGGAGCTGGCTTTGAGGATGGCTTCCTGGTCTAGGTTAGCTGAGTTACGACTCTCTAGGATCAGGCATTCAGGTCAGGATAGAGCTGGGGATGAGGATGGGCATTGAGAGGAGTGTAGGGTTAAGACTGGAATTAGGCCGGGCGTGGTGGCTCATGCCTGTAATCCTAGCACTTTGGGAGGCCAAGGTGGGTGGATCACATGAGGTCAGGAGTTCAAGACCAGCCTGGCCATCATGGTGAAACCCTCTCTTTAAAAAAAAAAAAAGACTGGAATTAGAGTGCCGGGCACGGTGACTCACGTCCGTAATCCCAACACTTTGGGAAGCCAAGGCGGGCAGATCATGTGAGGTGAGAAGTTCAAAACCAGCCTGGCCAACATGGCAAAACCCCATCTCTACTAAAAACATAAAAATTAGCCAGGTGTGGTTGCAAGTGCCTATATTCCCAGCTACTTGGGAGGCTGAGAGGTGAGAGGATTGCCTGAGCCCAGGAGGTTGAGGCTGCAGTGAGTCAGGATCGCGTCACCGCACTCCAGCTTGAGTGAAAGACCGAGACCTTATCTCAAAAAAAAAAAAAAAAAAAGAAAAGAATTGAGTCTGGCATTTAAAAAATGAAATTATGACCTTTTCAGCAACATGGACGAAGCTGGAGACATTATCCTAAGAGGATTAATGCAGAAACAGAAAATCAAACACTGCATGCTGTCTCTTATAAGTAGGAGCCCCATATTGGGTACACACAAGGATAAAGGCAACAGACACTGGGGTTCCAAAAGGGAAAAGGGAGGGAGGGGGGAAAGGGCTGAAAAACTGCATTTTGGGTACTATGTTCACTGCTTGGGCAATGGGACCATTAGAAAGCCAGACCTGTATGGCCAGGCACCGTGGCTCATGCCTGTAATCCCAGCACTTTGGGAGCCTAAGGGGAGTGGATCACCTGAGTTCAGGAGTTTGAGACCAGCCTGACCAACAGGGTGAAACCCTCATCTCTACTAATAATATAGAAAGTAGCCAGAAGCTGGGCACGGTGACTCACGCCTATAATCCCAGCACTTTGGGAGGCCAAGGCTGGTGGATCACCTGAGGTTGGGAGTTCGAGACCAACCTGACCACCACGGAGAAACCTCATCTCTAAACATCATAATAATAAAGTAAAAAATAAATAAAAAATCCTGTATTTGAGTTGAGTTGAGAAACCAGGGGCGTTGGTTTCGCGTTAGGAGTGATACTGGGGTGAGGATATCTAGGGGAAGCGTGGATGTGAACTTTGAACTCATGTTTAAGTTGGGCTGAGATGAGTTTTTGGTCACTGCTCTGTCTAGAGTTGATTTGAGTTAAGGTTAGGATTTCACTTGGGATTTCATTGATTTTAGAATTGGGGTTGAATTTGGAATTTGGATGACGAGAAGAGCTTGCAAATTGAGTCAGGGATGCTTGTGGGGTGCGGGGTTGGGCGAAGAATGATCTAGAATCTCAGCTGCTTTGGGACTGAGTTGAAGCACTGAAGCAGGATTTGAGGCTCCGGTAGTCGGAGGTAGCTGGGGGGTCTAGAGATGCTTAGAGGCTGTGGCCAAGGGTGAATTTCGGATTTCACTGACACTGACATAGGGCTTGGTATTCACAGTGGACTAGGAGGAGCTGAGGCTGAGTCAGTTTAGGGTGACTGGTGGAAGCTTGAGTGGGCTCGGAGTTGAGCTGAAGGGTTGGGTGACCCCGGTTATGGCTGGGGAGACACTGGGGTTGAGTGAGGAGCAGGGCTGGATTGAGAGTAAATCTGGAGTAGATGCCAATCTCAGGGTGGAACTGGGTTCAGGCGGATTTGGGGTAATGACCAGCTCAGTACTGTTTCAGGTTAATATCAGGGCTCCATAGGGCCTTAGGATTGGAGTGAAGTTTGGGTTGGGATGGGAACTGAGGACGGGTTTAGGGTGGGAGCTCTGGGGTCTGGGGTTGAGTGGGGTTGAGCATGGCACTGGGCAAGTGTTTGTAGGAGGGCATGGTGGAGCCCAGGGCGGAGGCTGGGGAAACAGATTTCTTCATAGCAGTTGGGTCAAGAGGTTGGCTGGAGTCAGAGTGAGCTGAAGATACGGTCAGACCCCATTTATAACTAGGATTGGGTTTAGGTTCGGGTTTGAGTCTAAGGGAGATTGACTTTTCTCTTTCTTTTTGAGATGGAGTCTCACACGGTTTCCCAGGCTGGAGTACAATGGCACGATCTCAGCACACTGCAACCTCTGCCTCCAGGTTCAAGCTATTCTCCTGCCTCAGCCTCCTGAGTAGCTGGGACTACAGTTGACCGCCACCATGCCCAACTAATTTTTGTATTTTTGGTAGAGACGGGTTTCACCATGTTGTCCAGGCTGGTCTTGACCTCGTGACCCGCCCACTTAGGCCTCCCAAAGTTCTGGGATTACAGGCATGAGCCACCACACCCAGCTGGGAGATTGACTTTTCATGTTGGGATCAGATTTTAGGTGACTGAGTTCAGAATTGGCTTTGGATTTCAGGTTTTGGGGGACTGGCTCACGGATATTCCAGAGTAGCATTTAGGATTGGGGTCCAGGTGGTCTACAGGGCAGGTTGGCTTCAGTCTGAAGGGAGCTCCGATGAGTACTTTACTCTGGTGAGTAGACTCCGATGGGGTCACAGGTTGAAACTGGATTTACCTTGAGTCTCTGATGGAGACAGGGGTAGGCCAGCTCTGCCGCACACAACCTCAGGACTGCTGAGGTGATCAGTCCCAGGAGTCCCCAAGCCATCTGAAGGCTTATGGTGGGTGCAAGTGATTGTCTGTTCATGATCATGTGTGTCTTTCTACATGGGGTCTTTTACCCTGCCCCGGAAGGACCTTAGAGACTGGTCTTGAAGGGCATGAAAGGGCAGAAGCCAGCCGGGTGCGGTGGCTCACGCCTATAGTCCAAGCACTTTGGGAGGCTGAGCCATGTGGATCAATCCAGGTCAGGAGTTCGAGATCAGCCTAGCCAACATGGTGAAACCCCGTCTCTACTAAAAATACAAAAGATTAGTTGGGCGTGGTGGCGCGCACCTGTAGTCCCAGCTACTCGGGAGGCTGAGGCAGGAGCACCGCTTGAACCTGGTGGTGGAGGTTGCAGTGAGCTGAGATCGTGCCACTGCACTCCAGCCTGGGCGACAGAGCGAGACTCTGTCTCAAAAAAAAAGGAAGAAAGAAAGAGCAGGCAGAAGGCTCTCTGGGAGGCCTGGCTCCTACCAACCTCCCCCCACCTTTCTTTCACAGTCGCAGCCAATGACGCCAGGGTTAAGGCCCATGGGTTCTGTCCCCAACCCCCGGATTATCGGTGAGTGACAAAAGACAGGCAAGTGGGGGAGGGGACCCTCTCCACCTCGCACCCCGCCCCGGCGCTGCTCTCCCATTCCCCTGGGCTGCCAGCCCATCCCTAGCCCAGGGACAGGGGCTGCTGAAGCTGTAGGTCAAGCCTCGCCTCTCCCTCCCTCCACAGAGCCTGCCGCCCTGGAGGAGTTTAAGAGGAAGGTTCTGGAGTCCCAGAGGCCCCCTGCAGTCATCTCTGCAGCCCCATCCAGGTAAGGCACTGGGCAGGCTACAATGGTTCAGTCTTAGGGCTGTGGGCAAAGCTAGAACCAGGACTCGGGGTGGAGGGAGGCTGATCTCACACTTGCTTCTTAACTGAGCACCTGCTGTATACTAGGTCATGTATGATTGGGTGTGAAGGACGCCGCAGTGACCAGGACACATCCAGTTCTGTCCTCATGAGACTCCCTGAGGAGTAGTGGGGGAGACAATGTCAGACGGGACTACCAAAGAGCCTACAATTATTAGGCACCTACTGTGAGCCCTATGCAGTTCTAAGTACGTTGCACGATTAGTTCACGTAATCTTCACAACCTAACAATACTAGTAGGGCAAACCACTATTCTGCCCAATTTCTAGATGAGGAGAGTGAGGCACAGAGAGGGCATGCATTGTACCCCAGGGAGCACAGCAGAGCTGGGACACAAACCCAGGCCATCAGGTCCCAAGCAGGCAAGAGAGAGCCTTGCTGAGGAGAAGCTGGAGCATGAGGAGCTGGTCTCTGGGAATGCAAGGGAACAGTGGTCCAGGCAGCGGGAATACCCTGGCAGAAGACCTGGAAGCTGGACTGGGGTAAGGGAAGGTCATGAGCAGAGGGAGAGAGAGGGGGAGTGGCATCCAGGAGTGACTCCTCACCTTTACTTTCTAGAAAATGAGTCTCAGCTGGGCACGGTGGCTCATGCCTGGAATCCCAGCTACTCAGGAGGCTGAGGCAGGAGAATCACTTGAACCCAGAAGGCAGAGGTTGCAGTAAGCCAAGATCGCACCCACTGCACTCCAGCCTGGGTGACAGAGTGAGACTGTCTCAAAGAAAAAGAGAGAGAGAGAGAGAGAGAGAGAGAGAGAGAGAGAGAGAGAGAGAGAGAGAGAGGAGGCCAGACATGGTGGCTCATGCCTGTGATACCAGTACTTTGGGAGGCCAAGGCAGGTAAATCACCTGAGGTCCAGAGTTCAAAACCTGTTTGGCCAAGAGGGTGATACTCTGTCTCTAGTTTAAAAAATACAAAAATTAGCTGGGCATAGTGGCAGGCACCTGTCATTCCAGCTACTCAGGAGGCTGAGGCAGGAGAATCGCTTGAACCCAGGAGGTAGAGGTTGCAGTGAGCCGAGATTGTGCCATTGCACTCCAGCCTGAGTGACACAGTAACAATCTGTCTCAAAAAAAAAAAAAAGAGAGTCTCAGCTAGGCACCATGCACTTTGGGAGGCTGAGGTAAGAGGATTGCTTGAGCCCAGGCATTCAAGACCAGTCTGGGCAACATAGCAAACCCCATTTGTACAAAAAACACAAAAATTAGCCAGGTGTGGTGGTGCGCACCTGTAGTCCAAGCTACTCAGGAGGCTGAGGCAGGAGGCTCACTTGAACCCAGGAGGCGGAGGCTGCAGTGAACTATGACCACAGCACTGCACTCCAATCTGGGCAAAAGAGCAAAACTTGTCTCTAAAAAAAAGCGGGGACCCTGCTGGGCACAGTGGCTCACACTTATAATCCCAGCACTTTGGGAGGCAGAGGCAGGTGGATCATCTGAGGTCAAGAGTTCGAGACCAGCCTGGCCAACATGGCAAAACCCTGTCTCTACTAACAATACAAAAATTACCTGGGCATGGTGGCACGTGCCTGTAGTCTCAGCTACTCGGGAGGCTGAGGCAGGAGAATCGCTTGAACTCGGGAGGCGGAAGTTGCCGTGAACCGGATAGCACCACTGCACTGCAGCCTGGGTGACAAAGTAAGACTCCGTTCCCTGCCCCTAAAAAAGGAGTTTTGGCCAGGCTAGGCACAGTGGCTCACACCTGTAATCCCAGCACTTTGGGAGGGCATGGTGAGAGGATCTCAAATATATAGTATATATATATTAAAATTTAGCTGGGTGTGGTGGCATGCCCTGTGGTCCTAGCTACTCAGGAGGGTGAGGTGGGTGAATCACTTGAGCCCACGAGGTCAAGACCAGCCTAGACAACATAGCAAGACCCTATTTCAACAACAAAAAATTAGCCAGGTGTGGTGTCACGCACCTGTAGTTCCAGTGACTGGGGAGGCTGAGGTGGGAGGATCACCTGAGTCAAGGCCGCGGAGAGCCAAGATTGCCCCGCTGCACTCCAGCCTAGGAGACAGAGACTCTGTCTTGGAAAAAAAAGACAGTCTCTGAAGTAAAGGGCCTAGAAATGCTTTGTTAATTGCAAGGTCCCATCCAAAAATGGCCAGACAAGGGGCTTGGGGCTTGTAGGAAGCAGCAAGAGTTCCTGGCACACGCTCAGCCATGGCTCGGTGCCCCCTCGCCTCCTCCCAGGGCCAGTCACTTTTCAGAGGGCGGCCTGTGCGTCACAGGGATGGTGACTCAGGCCACCGCCCCAAGAACGGGCTGTTCTGTCTCTGGGGTCCCTTACGCCAGTGACGGAGGAGCCAGGGCCTGGCATTGCCATTTGCAGTTTAGGACCGAGACTCAGGAAGGCACCAGGACTTGAAGTCAGATCACTTTGATCCCAAAGGCTGCCCCTGTGACCACTTTGCCACTGGGCTATTGTCAATCTGGGTCTCCTCCAGCCTCAGAGGACTAACGGGATTTCTGGCCAAGCAGATTTCCGAAAGCTTTGCCACCAAGTCCCCAGGATGCATCACGCCCACCTCCATCTCCACCTCTCCTTTTTTATTTTTTCTTCTTGCATACCCCCTCGGACGGGGAGCTCACGTCTTGCCAAGCTGTCTCCCAACCCCTTTGCTCTAGACGGCTCTGCCTGGGAGAAAGTTCTCAGCCCCAAGCAGCCCACAGGGAGGGAAATAAAAAGGTGAGCGGGGGACTCCTTGCTCCAAGCAAACACAATTTTCCTCTCTCCATCTTGGCCCAAAGCCCTCATGGCAAGGAAGGAGGTTCTATTATTATCCCCACTTCTCAGAGGAGGAAACTGAGGCCCCAGGGAAGTGAGCAGCCTGAGGTCACAGAGCAGAGAATCAGGGACAGGGCCGGGCTCCCAGCCCAGGACTGTCAGGGCCTCGGCTGAGAACTGGGGAAGCTCTTGACATTGTTTACCCCAAAATGACGTCCACCTGGCGAGAAAACAATGTGTACTTAGGCCTGGGCCTTGCCGGCTCCTCGCCTTGGGGTCGCAGCAAGGGCCTCTGGCACTGCTGGGCTCTGGCCTTGACTGGCCTTCCCCTGAGACGGGATTGGAGCAAGCGGGCTGGGCCTGTTTGCTGCAGGCTCACTGGCCAATTTTCGGCCAGTCACTGCAATGTCTTCTTTTTTTTGAGATGGAGTCTCACTCTGTCACCCAGGCTGGAGTGCAGCGGTGCGATCCCAGCTCACTGCAACCTCCTATTCCCAGGTTCAAGGGATTCTCCTGCCTCAGCCTTCTGAGTCGCTGGGACCACAGGTGCGTGCCACCATGCCTGGCTAATTTTTTTGTTTTTGTTTTTGTATTTCTAGTAGAGATGGGGTTTCATCGTGTTACCCAGGATGGTCTTGATCTCCTGATCTCATGGGATCAGGAGGCCACCTTGGCCTCCCAAAGTGCTGGGATTACAGGCGTGAGCCACTGCACCCGGATCTTTTTTTTTTTTTTTCTGAGACATTTTTGCTCCTGTTGCCCAGGCTGGAGTGCAATGGCGCAATCTCAGCTCACCACAACCTCCACCTCCCGGGTTCAAGTGATTCTCCTGCCTCAGCCTCCCAAGTAGCTGGGATTACAGGCACCCACCACCACACCCGGCTAATTTTGTGTTTTTAGTAGAGATGGAGTTTCACCATGTTGGTCAGGCTGGTCTCGAACTCCCAAACTCAGGTGATTGGCCCACCTCGGCCTCCCAAAGTGCTGGGATTACAGGCATGAACCACCTTGCTCAGCCTAACTTTTGGATTTTTAGTAGAGACGGGATTTCACCATGTTGGCCAGTCTGGTCTTCAACTCCTGACCTCAGGTGATCCACCCGCCTCAGCGTCCCGAAGTGCTGGGATGACAGGCAGGAGCCACGGTGCCCGGTTTATGGAAAATTTTAAAGTCATTTTCTCTTGGTAGCACGGGGGCCAGCTTCCCTTTACTTGGTGACACTGAGTGTCCCTTCCTGCAGATCACATGCGGCAGAGCAAAACCAAAAACAAACAAACGAAGAGAAGTAGACACTGAGTGTCCTTCGGAAATCAATGTAAGATTCTTTAAAAATGATATAAAGGGCCGGGCGCGGTGGCTCACGCCTGTAATCCCAGCACTTCGGGAGGCCGAGGCGAGCGGATCACGAGGTCAGGAGATCGACACTATCCTGGCCAAAGTGGTGAAACCCCATCTGCACTAAAAATACAAAAATCAGCTGGGCATGGTGGCCCGTGCCTATAATCCCGGCTACTCAGGAGACTCAGGCGGGAGAATCGCTTGAATCAGGGAGTGGGAGGTTGCAGGGAGCCGAGATTGTGCCATTTCACTCCAGCCTGGGTGACAGAGTGAGACTCCATCTCAAAAAAACAAAACAAAACAAAAAGATAGAAAGACAAACAATGGCTGGGCATGTTGGCTCACACCTGTAATCCCAGCACTTTGGGAGGCAGAGGTGAGAGGATTGCTTGAGATCAGCCTGGACAACAGAGCCAAACCCAGTCTCTACCAAAAAAAAAAAAAAAAATTAAAAAATTAACCAGGTGGCCGGGTGCGGTGGCTCACACCTGTAATCCCAGCACTTTGGGAGCCTGAGGAGGGCGGATTACCCTTGAGTTCAGGAGTTCGAAACCAGCCTGGCTAACATGGCTAAACCCCGTCTCTACTAAAAATACAAAAATTAGCCAGGTGTGGTGGCAGGCACCTCTAATCCCAGCTACTCCGATGCTGAAGTAGGAGAATTGTTTGAACCCGGGAGGCAGAGGTTGCAGTGAGCTGAGATCATACCACTGCTCTCCAGCCTGGAAAACAGACCAAGAATCTGTCTCAAAAAATAAAATAAATTCAAAATAATATCTTGGCCTGGTGTGGTGGCTCATGCCTGTAATCCCAGCACTTTGGGAGGCTGAGGTGGGCAGATCACCTGAGGTCAGGAGTTTGAGACCAGCTTAGTCAACATGGTAAAACCCCAACTCTACTAAAAATATAAAAAATTGGCTGGGCGCGGTGGCTCATGCCTGTAATCCCAGCACTTTAGGAGGCCAAGACAGGTGGATCATGAGGTCAAGAGATCAAGACCATCATAGCTAAACCCCGTCTCTACTAAAGATACAAAAATTAGTCGGGCGTAGTGGTGCATGCCTGTAGTCCCAGCTACTTGGGAGGCTGAGGCAGGAGAATTGCTTGAACCTGGGATGTGGAGGTTGCAGTGAGCCGAGATCATGCCACTGTGCATTCCAGCCTAGGTGGCAGAGCAAGACTCCATCTCAAAAAATAATAATAAAAGAAAGAATAAAATCTTTTTTTAAAAAGCCCTTCCCATTGCAATTTCACCATATTCAGCCACATAGCTTCTGGACCAAGATGTACGTAATATTTGCCCTTTAAAAAGTGTTTTAGAGGCAGAGGCTTCCTCTGTCACCTAGGTTGAAGTGCAGTGGCATGATCATAGCTCACTGCAGCCTTGACCTCTTGTTCCCAAGCAGTCCTCCTGCCTCAGCCTCCTGAGTAGCTGGGGCTACAGGTACAAGCCATCATACCTGGTTAATTTTTTTCTTTGAGACAAAGTCTCGCTCTTGTCCCCCAGGCTGGAGTGCAGTGAGCGTCCAGACCTGGCTCTGAGCTGTGGGGAATGTTCAAGTTCACCGTTACCACTCTCAGATTCATTTGTCCATTCAAGCCATATTTACTGAGCAGCTGCTGGGAACCAGGCATGGGGCTGGGTGCCGGAACAAGGCACCGAAGCCACTGCCCTCACGGGGCTCACAGTCTAGTGGGAAAGATGGATGGTAAATCAGATGAATGGGTTACCTGAGGGCCCTTTGGTGATGGGCAAGACAAAATAAAGGGGCAGGACGTGTAAGAAGCTTGGGATTTTCCATCAGAGACAGGGCAGGCTAGTGAGGTGATATTGAAGCAGAGAGCCAAAGAAGGAGGGAAGAGCCATGGGGGGTTCCCAGGAAGGGTTCTCCAGACAGAGGGCACGGCCAGGGACAAAGGCCCCAAGATGGGACCATGCCTTGCATGGTTGAGGGAGGAGGCCAGTGTGGCTGGAGCAGAGTAACTGAGGGGAGGAGAAGGTGAGGGCAGGAAGTGATCGGGCTGATCGAGCCCTGCCTGTCGCTGCTGTGAGGACCTGAGCAGACAGGGGACGCGCGTGACCCAGATCAAGCATCCACAGGTTCCTCTGGTCACTGCTGGGGAACAGACTGGGGGACAAGGGCCGAGGGGACTGCACTAGTCCAAGCAATCAGGGGGGCTTCGGTGCCTCCGTCTCTGAAAAATTGGAGGCTTGCAGGCTGGCAGCAGGGACCAGAGCTGGGTGAATCATGGTTGAGGATGGAGTCTGGGGCCAGGGCCAGGGGCCAGGGGCCAGGGCCAGGGACCTGAGCCAACCAAGGAACGTGAGGCCGCTCGGGCCCCAGGGAAGAGCCGGGGAAGGAAGGGAGAGGACTAGCGGAAGCAGGACTTGGCCACAACCCCCTCCTCCCCCAGCAGGAAACAGCCTCTGTGCCGACCCCTGACCCCTTGCAGGAACCTCTGCCAGGCCCAGGAGGGGGAGGGCATTCCAGACAGCACGACCTGGGAGGGGTGCAGAAGCCGTGTGATGGCTCTTGGAATTGTTGGGACTTTAGCAATGCAGGAGTCCCCAATGGGGAGGCCTGGCAGGGGCAGAGGGGTGGAGCCCTGAATGCCATGTGTAAGGCTTGGGCTTTATTCTGAGGGCACTGGGGAGCCATAGAGGACGTGTGAGCAGGAGCAGGGTTAATTCTGTGTAGACAAAAGAGGGAGACTGAAGCCTTACCTTGAGGACCAGCGTAGGGGTCTGGAGGAGCAGAAGCTTTGGGGTAAATTCTCAATATCCCCAGAACGTTGGAGTCAATCTGCAGCAGAGGCTTGGAGTGAAGTGGCCGCTGGGAACCTCAGTCTCTTCATCTGTATAATGGGGAGGAACACACCTCAGTCTCACCATCCTGGGGAGGTTCAACACGTGAGAGTCTCATGGGGAGGCTGAACTCGAAGGAGCTCTGGTGTCCTGAGGGACAAGTAGGGGCCCAGGGTAGGAGGAGGCAGGGCCGGGGTCCCCAGGATGTTGTGCCCCCGCTGAGGACGAGCCTCCAGGGCCGGGCCGAGGTCTGCCCTTCCCTCTGTCTGACCCACTATTGTGTCACCATCCCCTTCCTGCCCTAGTGGCTGAGGATGCTCCAGGCCTGAGGACCGAGGGGTGGCGCGACTCGGCGGTCTGCGGAGGATGCAGTGAGATGCTCGTGGCGCCCGCCACAACCCCCTCCCGCCGCCGCCCGCCACCCATGGCCACCATCAGACAACTTCCTGCATGCAAACCCCTTGTACTCTCTCACGCCCGCACCTGCGCCTCATGGTCCCTCGCCCAGAACACACGGCCGCGGTGATGATGTGGCGATGACGTCACACGTCCCAGGGTGATGGCTTCACGCAGCCATGTGGACGTCACGCACAGATCTAGCGGTGGCACCACATGTATGTACTGCGTGGCGCACAGACATGGGGAACTTGGAAATGCAGTGATGACGTCACTGGCCGTGTTGACGTCATGTGTCATGACAACGTCACACAGACGCAGCGATGACATCATACAGAAGGTGATGTCACACACACAGACGCAGTGACAACTTTGCACACACCATGACAACGTCACATATAGATATGGCACCAACATCACATGCACACACGTCCTTTCACACACACTTTCTGCCTAATCCTCACCTAGTGTCACATCCCCCCCACCCTGGCACCCAGGCCAAGGTACCCTTGGCATCCCTGGGCCCCAGCACCTCCCCTCCTCCAGCTTCCTTAACTCCCAGGACTTCCTCGCCTGCAGTGTCTGGCCCCGGAGGTGAGAACAGGGAGCTGTTCACCTCTGCACCCTGAGCGTGAGCGTTTCCAGACCTCTCTTGGGGCCCTGATCCCAGGGTGAGGGACACCTGCTGTCGGGAGGTGCACCCTTTCTCCCCCCAACTCCTAGCCCTGCCTTGTGGCCCCTTTGAAATATTGGTGGCACTTAATAAATGTTAGTAAATCCTTCAAAGACTCCAGAGAGATGATTTCTGCTTTTTTTTTTTTTTTTGAGATGGAGTCTCGCTCTGTTGTTGCCCAGGCTGGAGTGCAATAGCATGATTTTGGCTCACTGCAACCTCCGCTTCACGGGTTCTAGCGATTCTCCTGCCTCAGCCTCCTGAGTAGCTGGGATTACAGGCGCATGCCACCATGCCTGGCTAATTTTTTGTATTTTTAGTAGAAACAGGGTTTAATCATGTTGGTCAGGCTGGTCTTGAACTCCTGACGCCGTGATCCGCCTGCCTCAGTCTCCCACACTGGGCCATGATTTCTGCTTTAAAAAGTACCACATGGTTGCCAGGTGCGGTGGCTCATGCCTGTAATCCCAGCACTTTAGGAGGCCAAGGCGGGAGGATCACTTGAGTCAGGAGTTTGAGACCAGCCTGGCCAACATGGTGAAACCACATCTCTACTTAAAATACAAAAATTAGCTGTGCATGGTGGCCCGCACCTGTAATCCCAGCTACTCAGGAGGCTGAAGGAGGAGAATTTCTTGAACCTGGGAGGTGGAGCCTGCAGTGACCTGAGATTGAGCCACTGCACCCCAGCCTGGGCAACAAAGCAAAAAAACAAAACAATAAAACAAGAAAAAGAAGCACAGGGCTGTGAAAGAGAAAAGACTGGACAGAAGATGACAGCCAGGGAACCCCCTGCCCAACTTCTCCAGGCTGGAAGATGCTTCAACCTGGAACAAACTTGGGGGACACCAGCAGCCCCCCAAGACACAAGCATCTCTATACACAAAGGGGAGTGGCAGAGTTATAGCCAAGGAGGATTGGATGCAGTTGCTCCAAGGCACCACACTTCGACAGCAATGCTGTTATACTTAGTGTTTCCTTTAAATAGCAGGGCAGGAAAGGTGGCTCGCGTCTGTAATCCCAGCACTTTGGGAGGCTAAGGCTGGAGGATCGCTTGAGCCCAGAAGTTCAAGACCAGTTTGGGCAACATAGCGAGACTTTGCCTTTACAAAAGATTTTAAAAATTAACTAGGCATGGTGGCATGCACCTGTAGTCCCTATAATCCCAGCACTTTGGGAGGCTGAGGTGGGCGGATCACTTGAGGCCAGGAGTTTGAGACCAGCTCGGCAAAACTCCGTCTCTACAAAAAACACAAAGCCAGGCGTGGTGGCACACGCCTGTAATCCCAGCTACTCAGGAGGCTGAGACATGAGAATCTCTTAAACCCCAGGAGGCGGAGGTTGCAGTAAGCTGAGATCACGCCGCGCCACTGCACTCCAGCCTGGATGACAGAGGGAGACCCTTTCACCAAAAAAAAAAAAAAAAGAAGAAGAAGAAGGAGAAAGAAAATTCTAGGTTTGCAAATAATTCTCCAGAAAAGGCAGCAGTGTCCAGTTTAAAGACACTTTGGCTCACCGATATCACCACCTTAGCCAGGAGTCAGGGAAAAGCCAATCGAAAGAACGCAGGGATATCACGTTGCACCCAGCAGATTAGAAAAATGTCTTCTTTTTTTTTTTTTTTTTGAGTTGGAGTCTCACTCTGTTGCCCAGGCTGGAGGGCAACGGTACGATCTCAGTTCACTGCAACCTCTGCCTCCCTGGTTCAAGCAATTTTCCTGCCTCAGAAGTTTTTACTTGTTAGAGAAGAAGCCCCAGGAATGGGGTTTTATCCAAAGTAGCTGGGATTACAGGCACCTGCCACCACACCCAGCTGATTATTTGTATTAGTTAGTAGCGTCGGGGTTTCGCCATGTTGGCCGGGCTGGTCTTGAACTCCTGACCGCATGATCTGCCCGCCTCGGCCTCCCAAAGTGTTGGGATTACAGGTGTGACACGCCATGCCCAGCCCAAAAACATCTTTTTAAGGCCATAATAGCTAACACCCACGCAGGTAAAGATGTAGAAAAAAGGGCCTTTTCCTACAAGACTGGTAGAAATTGAAGCCCTGTGATGGCCCTTCCAGAAACTACTTTAGGGATACCTAATAAAATCAGGCTGGGTACGGTGGCTCACACCTGTAATCTCGGCACTTTGGAAGGCCTAGGTAGGAAGATTGCTTGAGCTCCAGAATTCAAGGCCAGCCTGGGCAATATAGCGAGACCTCATCTCTATGAAAAATTTAAAGAAAAACAGGTGTGAGGTGCGTGCCTATAGTGCCAGCTACTTGGGAGGCCGAGGTGGGAGAACCGCTTGAACTCAGGAGTTGGGAGGCTGCAGTGAGCTCTGATTCTACCACTCTGCACCAACTTGGGTGACAGAGCAAGACCCTGTCTTGAATGAATGAATGCATGCATGCATGAATGAATGAATGCACAAACCCCGTGACTCAGTAACCCTATTCCTGGGCTTTGTCTCTAACGGCCCGGCACAGTGGCTCACTCCTGTAATCCCAGCACTTTGGGAGGCCAAGGTGGGCAGATCACAAGGTCAGAAGTTTGAAACCAGCCTGACCAATATGGTGAAACACCGTCTCTACTAAAAATACAAAAAATTAGGAGCCCAGCTACTCAGGAGGCTGTAGCGGGAGAATCACTTGAACCCAGGTGGTGGAGGCTGCAATGAGCCAAGATCGCGCCAGTGCACTCCAGTCTGGGTGACAAAGCAAGACTCTGTCTCAAAAAAAAAACTTCTGGACACAAAGCCAATAGCTGTCAGGAAAAACAGACTTAATATCGCTGTCTAGGGTGGGCGCAGTGGCTCATGCCTGTAATCCCAGCACTTTGGGAGACCGAGGCAGGCGTATCACTTGAGGTCCGGAGTTCGAGACCAGTCTAACCAACATGGTGAAACCTCGTCTCTACGAAAAATACCAAAAAATTAGCCAAGCATGTTGCACATTCCTGTAATCCCAGCTACTCAGGAGGCTGAGGCAGGAGAATCCCTTGCACCTAGGAGGCGGAGGCTGCAGTGAGCCAAGATCACGCCACTTCAGTCCAGCCTGGATGACAGAACACAACTCTGTCTCAAAAAAAGCAAACAGGTAACAAAGTTGCTGTCTAGGATCTCAGTTTGTCTGTCCACACCTCCCCTCCCCTCCATTCCCTCCCAGTCTATCCTCTGGGGTCCTGGACTGGGATGGATGAGTCACAGGGAGCCCGGAGCTGGCAGCGCCACGCTTAGGGCAGGCTAGTCTGGAGGGACAAAGGAGCGATATTTCCGGGATACGGAAACAAGGGCGAGAGATGGTCACCGCAGGAAACATTCAGCTGGAGCTCTGCCAAGACAGAGCAGGGGGGTCAGCCCTACCAGACCGCCCAGACAGGCTGGGCTGGAGGCTCCCCATTGCCCTCAGAACAAATTCTAGCTCTCTAGCACATCTGTGACTCCCCTCTTGCCTCCTGCTATCCTGCACTTTTCAGTTCTTTGAAAAGGACTCAAAGCCCAGAGTCCTCAGGCTTTGATGCCAGCCAGTCCCAGCCACCCCAGAAGACCTGATTTAGGATTTCGGAGCCAAACATCCCCAGGTTTGAATCTTGGCTCAGTCATCCCCAGCCTCCATTTTCTCATCCAAGCAATGGGTGTAATAATAATTCTAAGGCCAGGCATTATCTTTGTAAATAAAGTTTTATTAGGGCTGGGCATGGTGGCTCATGCCTATCATCTCAGCGCTTTGGGAGGTCGAGGTAGGAGGATCGCTTGAGCCCAGGAGTTGGAGGCTACAGTGAGCTAGAATTACACCACTGTACTACAGCCAGGGCAACAGAGCAAGACCCTGTCTCTAAAATAATAATAATAATAGTAGTAATGATTCTAAACACTCCAGATATGTGGGCACAGGCCTCTGATCCTTTGTCAGTTTTTGCCTTCCAGAGCATTCCAGGAGCCATCATCCCTGTAACCAACCCAGTAACCTTGCCCTGGCTCAGTCCCTGCACACTTAGCCATGGCCTCTGGTATGGCTCCTGTGCTGGTCCTGTGGAGGCCGAGGTGGGAGAACCGCTTGAACTCAGGAGTTGGGAGGCTGCAGTGAGCTCTGATTCTACCACTCTGCACCAACTTGGGTTCCATTACAGACTCTGTCCAAGCCTCTCTCCTGCTCACACACCCTCCATGGCTCCCTATTACCCTTAGAACAAAGTCTAGCTCCTTAGCACATCCGTGACTCCCCTCTTGCCTCCTGCTATCCTGGAGAATAATTCTCTTTAAAAGACTCAACATGCATTAATTCACGCTGTGCCCTTGCATTTTTCATGCCTAATGAACCGTTCTTCCTCTGAGGCCCAGCTCCAGAGACCCCTTCCTCAGAAAGCCCTTCTTCATGCCCCAGATATAGCCCTTGCTTTCCCTTTTAGAAACCTCCAGACCAGCCTCATCCCTCCCTCTTTCCAGCCCTGACCCTAAAGCTCTGACTCTCCCAGGCTGATGGCTCCTCAGGAACCGGGTGGGGACTGAATACAGTGGGTGGGGGGTCGAGCAATTCACAGATCGGGGCCTCTTCCTGACCCTGAGGTATCCCAGCGCCTGCCGAAACCCAGACTCTTTGGGGATTTCCTGCAGCCTCTATAAATAACCCCCATGGCTGCTTCCCACAAACCACCTCACCCTTCTTGGAAAAAAAGTACTGTGGCCAAGGACCTCAGGCCAGCTGTGTGCCAGGGCCCTGGGGAAGGCAGGCGGGGCCCCAGCATCCTGTCCAAAGAGCATCTCCAACCCCATCCAGCCACAGGCCCAGCTCACCCCTCCTGAGGGCCCTCAGAACCCTCCCCACTGCCAGCCCAGCCCCGACCCCTGGACCCACATTATTGCTTTTCCGCTCTGGGCATCGGTTTGGGTTCCTGATGGGGGCAATAGTAACATTTGTGGACTCAGCTCACAGTGTGACCCTTTCTACTCAGGCCACCGCCCCTCCCGCCCCAATTCGTTGATTTTGTTGAACAAGCAAGGAAATGAATAAATCGTGACATATTGTCAGGAAGCCTGTAAATAAAACGGGCCGGGGTCTCCTCTGGTTGGGTGGTTGGGAAATTCTGGGGGCCTCCTCAGGCCCTTGTCACGCCCTCTGTCTGCCCGG